GACGAACCTAGGAACTATGAGGAAGCGATGATGAGCCCAGATTCCACGAAATGGCTTGAGGCCATGAAATCCGAGATGGGATCCATGTATGAAAACAAAGTATGGACTTTGGTTGACTTTTCCTATGATCGGCAAGCCATAGAGAATAAATTGATCTTCAAGAAGAAGACTGACGCTGATGGTAATGTTATTGTCTACAAAGCTCGACTTGTTGTGAAAGGTTTTCGACAAGTTCAAGGAGTTGACTACGATGAGACCTTCTCACCCGTAGCGATGCTTAAGTCTGTCTGAAGCATATTAGCAATTGCCGCATTTTATGATTATGAAATTTGGCAAATGGATGTTAAAACTGCATTCCTTAATGGATTTCTTAAAGAAGATTTGTATATGATGCAACCAGAAGGTTTTGTCGATCCTAAATGTGCTAACAAAGTGTGCAAGCTCTAGCGATCCATTTATGGACTGGTGCAAGCCTCTCGGAGTTGGAATATACGCTTGATAGTGTGATCAAAGCATATGGTTTTATACAGACTTTTAGCGAAGCCTCTATTTACAAGAAAGTGAGTGGGAGCTCTCTAGCGTTTCTAATATTATATGTAGATGACATATTGTTGATTGGAAATGATATATAATTTCTGGATAGCATAAAAGGATATTTGAATAAGAATTTTTCAATGAAAGACCTCGGTGAAGCTCCTTATATATTGGGCATCAAGATCTATAGAGATAGATCAAGACGCTTAATTGGACTTCCACAAAGCACAAACCTTGATAAAGTTTTGAAGAATTTCAAAATGGATCAGTCAAAGAAAGGGTTCTTAACCGTGTTACAAGGTGTGAAGTTGAGTCAGACTCAATGCCCGACCATTGCAGAAGATAGAGAGAAAAAGAAAGTCATTCCCTATACCTCAGCCATAGGTTCTATCATGTATGCAATGTTGTTTACTAGACCTGATGTGTGCCTTGCTATAAGTTTAGCAGGGAGGTACCAAAGTAATTCAGGAGTGGTGGATCACTGGGCAGTGGTCAAGAACATCCTGAAATACCTGAAAAGGACTAAGGATATGTTTCTTGTTTATGGAGGTGACAAAGAGCTTGTCGTAAATGGTTACGTCGTTGCTAGCTTTGACACTGATCCGGATGACTCTAAGTCAACCGGATACGTATTTATATTGATGGTGGAGCTGTCAGTTGGTGCATTTCCAAGCAGAGCGTCGTGGCGGGATCTATGTGTGAAACAGAGTACATAGCTGCTTCGGAAGCAGCCAATGAAGGAGTCTGGATGAAGGAGTTCATATCCGATCTAGGTGTTATACCTAGTGCATCGGGTCCAATGAAAATCTTTTGTGACAATACTGGAGCAATTGCCTTATCGAAGGAATCCAGATTTCACAAGAGAACCAAACACATCAAGAGACCATTCAACTCCATCCACGATCAAGTCAAAGTGGGAGATATAGAGATTTGCAAATTACATACAGATCTGAATGTTGCAGACCCGTTGACTAAGCCTCTTCCACGAGCGAAACATGATTAGCACCAAGACTCCATGGGTGTTAGAATGATTACAATGTAATCTAGATTATTGACTCTAGTGCAAGTGGGAGACTGAAGGAAATATGCCCTGGAGGCAATAATAAAGTTGTTATTTATATTTCCTTATATCATGATAAATGTTTATTATTCATGCTAGAATTGTATTAAACCGGAAACTTGTACATGTGTGAATACATAGACAATACAAAGTGTCCCTAGTATGCCTCTACTTGACTAGCTCGTTAATCAAAGATGGTTAAGTTTCCTAACCATATACATGTGTTGTCATTTGATGAACGGTATCACATCATTAGGAGAATGATGTGTTGGACAAGACCCACCCGTTAGCTTAGTATAATGATCGTTAAGTTTTATTGCTATTGTTTTCTTCATGACTTATACATATTCCTTTGACTATGACACTATGCAACTCCCGAATACCGGAGGAACACCATGTGTGCTATCAAATGTCACAATTTAACTAGGTGATTATAAAAATGTTCTCTTAGCCGTGTGCAGTGCCCTCCTCCACAGTTTACTCCTCCGGTCATATTGTCGTAGTGCTTAGGCGAAGCCTTGCATGGATCACATCACCATCACCGTCACCACGCCGTCGTGCGGACGAAACTCTCCCTCGACACTTTTCTGGATCAAGAGTTTGAGGGACGTCATCAAGTTGAACGTGTGCTGAACTCGAAGGTGCCATACATTTGGAATTGATCGGTTGGATCGCGAAGACGATCGACTACATCAACCGCGTTAAGTTAACGCTTCCGCTTTCGGTTTACGAGGGTACGTGGACACACTCTCCCCCTCTCGTTGCTATGCATCTCCTAGATATATCTTGTGTGATTGTAGGAATTTTTTTGAAATTGCATGCTATGTTCCCCAACAACTCGGGCCCTAGTGACAAACATTAAGCATAACAAAGTCATAGCAACATCAATCTCAGAACATATTGGATACTGGTGACCAATCCCTAACAAATTGACTCGATTGCATGATAAATCTCATCCAACTCCATCACCGTCCAGCAGACTGATTGCTTGTATATGTGTTGGTGATTCCCCGAAGAGGAGGGGATGATGCAGCACAACAATGGTAAGTATGTGCCTCAGTTATGAAACCAAGGTTATAAATTCAGTAGGAGAACCAAGCAACACTATGTAAACAACACATGCACACAAACAGCAAATACTTGCAACCCAACGCGTAAGAAGGGTTATCAATCCCTCCTTGGTATTGAGATAGATTAAATTGTATGAGATTTGATAAATAGAACTAACTAAAACACAAAATAAATAAATTAATAAATAAAAAGTGCAGCAAGTTATTTTTGGGTTTTTGAAATAATAGACCTGAAAACAATATGATAGAAAATAGACTCGGGGGCTGTAGATTTCACTAGTGCATAGTGCAATGAGTGGTAGTTTTAAGAATTTAGCCAAGTAGCACAGTATCACATTAGGTCTTTTAGATTTTTTCTTTTCCATTTTCTGTTTTGTACTTCTTTCCCTGTGTTGCATTTTTATCACTAGCAAATGATTTTTGTTGAACTTAAAATTTAGTACATAAATACTAGGCAATGATTGGAGCTAGCACAGCAAGTGCCAATTTATTTTGAATTGTTCAAATATTTATTTAAATTGAAATGACACAATTTAATGCCGTTAGCACTATTTTAAATGGGTTAAGGGCATTTAAGTATTTCTAATGATGTTGGGTTCAACATGACAAATGATCAGGGGAATTTATGGAATAATGCGAACATTTTAGTTTTACTGTTTGAATACATATTAATTTTGACTTCAAATTAAATTTGAAATGGCTTTGAATTTTCATCAAGTGGTAACTTGGCTTAGAAAAAGGCGATGACACAGCGTCATTAACATGAGGTTACTATAGCATGATTATTGGGGCGTCACATTGAGCGCATCGATGACGGCACAGAGGCGAGAGAGGTGGAGAGGGGCACGAGCTTGAGTGAGTGAGCTGGTCGAGAGAGTGAGTTGAGTGAGCTGGCGGCTAGCCCTGTTTCCCTGTAGGGAAGCATGTTCTGACCGCGCTGGTCAGACAGCCGTTAGGCGCCGTGCTGGTGCACGCGTGCTTTGGCACGTCAAATTCTGTTCAAAAAACGGTTCACTGTTTTTTGCCACAGCCATTTTTTCATACGGTGCATAGTGCAATGTTTCATTAAGTGGCAGTTTTCTGCTAATCACGTCGCTATTGTGGGATTCTGTGTATTTTACTTTTTTGGGGATTGTTTGTGTACATCATTATGAATAAAACATGAAAAATACTATCCGATATAGGAAATTACCAATCCACACTTGGCCAAATTCCGAGCGGACCGTACTAACCGTTGGATCAACTATATACAACCCATTATTTTGTGTAGTACTCCAAAAAAAAATCTCTTTACTGAAAGCTCGGCAGATGGAGTGGATGAAACCAGGTGACAAACAAACCACCATCGCCGTCGTGCATGGTGAAGTCGACGGAGGCAAATTAAAGCCTCCCGGCTGGTCCGTGAATAGCGATGCATGCCGTCTGCCCGGCGTCGCGGTGCCCGCGGTGACGACAAGCCAGGAGACGCGAAGTCTGCCGGTCCGCATCACGCTCACGCATCCACGCATCGACGTCTAGTCACGCTCGAGTGTCGCTGCTTTGTTTAAGGTGTAGAAGCACTTCGCGATCAGCAACTCAGCATCGGTTGCGTCGGCGTCCGTATCAGCCGTATCAGATGGCAGCGACCACCGGGCGTTAATTTGTTCGTTTGTGTGCAACAAACAATCGGTATTTTTGAGAATGCAGTGGTGTTTGTGAATCTGAACAAAGAGGAGTGTCGGTATTTTTTTTAAAAAAAATTATTATCAAAAGGAGTGTCAGTTGATCTGCTATTGGACGATGGCAAAATTTGACCGAGCCTTCAAAAGATCCAGGTACTAACTACTGAAGAATGATGCACTAGCGAAGGCGATTAAGAAATGTGAATCAACCTGTGGTTGAGTGGGTTGGGGATATGCCGGCTCAGTCTTTCGGAAGTGCTCATAGGGGTAGGGTGTGCGTGTGTGCGTTCATAGGGATGAGTGTATGCGCGTGTATATGAGCGCTTGTGTCTGTACTGATGCTAAAAAAAAGGCGATTAAGAAATGATATCTCACTGGCTTTCCATAGATAGATATTTTGCGAGATCTGCTAGATACACATCTCAGTTATATTCCAGGTGCAACAACACAACTTCACAAACTTGACTTATTTATTCAAATATTGTACTATAGAGCAACACATCACACTCTTGTGTACGTACTACACGTACAAGTTCACACAAGAAACTCACGTAGTTCCAAAACAAAAGTAGTGCAAGTCAACAGTCATACCAACGCCATAGCTCACGTCATCACACTACTAGCACCACACGAACACGCATCACAGTACACACAATATGATAATACGCTCCCGAGTCAGAGCCACGGGAGACTCCCTGCATCGTCCATGATATCATCGAGCTGCTCCGGCTGGAACATCATCTGAATCTCCGGCGGCAAGGGCAGGGGCGGCGGCGGTGGCGTCTGCAGGCCGCCGTACAGCTGCGTGAGGTGGACGGGGATTTCCTGCACGTCCATCGGAACGCCGGTGATCTGACCGAGCATGCGGAGCTGGGAGTTTTGCTGCTGGAGAAGGCTGTAGAGGCAACGAGCGTCTGCGAAGAGCACACGGTTCTGCTGCTCGACCAGGCTGCATTGCTGCTGCACGAGGGCGGTGGTGACACGCATGGCGTTGTTGTCGATCTCGAGCTGGGCCGCGCGCACGACCAGATTGTCCTCGCGCTGCTGCCTCTTTATGCGAGACCTCTGCGCTGAGAGGCGGTTTGAGGTCTTCCGTTTGCGCTGCCGCTCCTCCTCGGTGACCGCGCCGCCATGGCGTGGTGGCGCCGACGACGCCGCAGCCGGCGGAATCATCTCCATTTGTTGTAGAGTATCACGCAGAAACACACCAGAGTACGTAATTCCCGCTCCTAGAAGTGTACCAGTGTACCAGGAGCGGTGGAGAACGTAGTACTTACTTGCAAGCCGGAGGAAGAAGAAGGTACGGAAACAAGAACGTAGAAGGAAACACACTACTACCACTACTATACTTTGGATGGGGAGAGGGGGGCGGATCAGGAGATCACGTAGAGGAAGTGGAGGAGGACGATGGAGAGCGAGTGCAGGCAGCAGATGTGGATGAGGCTAGGAGGCGGCTGCGGCGGCGTCGACATGGACGGCGCGGGCAGCACTTCCGCCGGAGCTCGAGGGGTGCGAATGGCCTGGTTGATGTTTCTTCTGGGAACGATGGTGTATATATGGTCGCGATGGAGGGGAGCCCCTTCGCCGGTGCGCATACGTAGGCCGCCGGCCAAATTCGCTAGTGCTCTGTGCGTACCAACCAACTCGTAAAAATGTATGGAGACGTCGCTTTTGTTGTTGCGATGTTGGGCTTGCCTCATTGGCGGAGCTGTCAGTGCCGCAGCATGCATGCATTGAATTTTCCAATGGTGCCAACGAAGTACGTACGAAACTTCTATGACCGGACGAATATGAAGGTTCTACTTACATTATCCCCCTGTGATCATTTTTCTAAATGATCTCTATATTTTATTTTGCGGGGGATCGTTAAAATACTTGGTTCATTCGAGGTGTCGTTTGTCTGACCAAAAGGGCACCTCTGTATTTACTTCTTTATGGTGCATCAGGGAGTAGTACAGCGGATCCGGCTTGCCTGCTCCCTCGCCATGCTCCCATCCGTGCTCCCACTTCATCCTACGGCTGTCTTTTTCTCTTTTTTTCTTTTTAATTTAATCATCTCCCCCCTGATTTTAAGGGGGTGGGGCCGGGCCTTATTTTGTTTCAATCAAATCGTGACACATATGCTGGAGCATGGATGGGAGCACGCTGGGGGAGCAGGCAAGTCTCGTCCGTAGCACAGCATGTCGACACGGCGCACAATTTCAGTTTTCTTTTTCTTTTTGCACCGAGATGTCTCCATCGGCGACTTGGCCAATGGAGGTATGGTATGCCAACGAAAATTCACACGAGCATCTGGGAAGCAGCGCAAAGCCAATATCAAACTAAAGCCGTTGCAGACAGTTTATGCTTGAATTCATCGGTTACCACAACACTCTTCTCAAGAAATAAGCGATTCGTCAGATCAACCAATGCATCTACAGCACATACTACTAGGTAGGGAGGAGAGGAGGTCTGAATATTCGACGGCAAAGATGCAAAGACACACAGCCAGCTCTCCTAGTGTTCCCGACCGGGGGAAAACCACATTCCATGGCCATATTCAGACGTCCTGGTCGCTGGCGTCACGAGATAACATTAACAACGATGCCCCCAGCTCTAGTTTTTTACCCCAGCCAAGGGCGATCGATGCAAGCAAGCAATAAATAGTACATGTCGTTTTCGTTGGTAGCTAGGCTGGTAACTAGTATAGTTGGGTTTGCTTCTGCCCGAAGAGAAGGGAATAAACTAGTGCGGCTAGAGGAGAGAACATATATGCATCTGCAGTCCAAGATCCTGCTGGGCTTTGTCGCTTTTGTTGTACTACTTGACTAAACGATCAGTTAGGAGGCGCCAGGTGCTTTTGCTTATGTATGTACACATGTCGATGCCGCGTCGTGCCCTTTGGCGCCTGGTAGCCTTTCTGCTTGTGTGCTAGTGCCAGGCAGAGCTAGCTAAACTAAGTGAACCTTTCGATGCTCAGTACGTATGAACATGCTATTATTATTTTATTTATTTAAAAAGTGGAATATATTAATATCAAGTAGATATCAATTACACCCATCCTTTGCACCTACAAGATGTCTAAAAACATCCAGGATACATACAACCAAAAAAAAGACCCTGCCACGGTAATCGATCATCCGCAATAGCAACACTCTAACCACCACCAAAGACAACACCCGGACTAGAAAGAAGGTTCTCCAAAAGCAACGCCTCCTAGAAGGAAACAATGTACAAGTGTTGTCGTTGCCCGATCAAAGATCGTAGGTTTTCATCCTCCAGAAAGACTGCGTTCCCAAAACAATGCTTTCAACAAGGTCGCTGCCAGGCACAACCAATAAAGGCCATACCTTGGGTTTTCACCTGAAAACCACGACTCAGTACTCAAAGGAGCACCACCAACAAAGAAGTCCTCCAATGCCGCCACCCCCACTTGCGGAGTCCACTACTAGAAGTCTCGTACCACCAAACTCACAGGAACTCGTGCCTGGTTTGGACGGGAACATATCCCACAACCAAGTCTGGACAACTGCATGTGAAGCAAAGTCTTCATCGCATTCAAGACCCAGCCTCCGTCACTTGCAGTTCCTCCAATCACGCCATGGCATTCCCCGCATATGTTGATCCCTTGGAAATCTTGGTGCAGACATGTCCCGAGGTGTCAACAAAAAACGAAGCTTCGCGATACCCCGGTAAAGCTAGTTATGCTGATGTTGCGGGTGTACTCGACTGGCCCAATCCAATCAAGGTGTCCAAAGAGCGTCATATACGTCAGTCCTTGTTTTCCTTCGAAGGAGAAGTCCGGAGCTCGCCGATGGCGAAATCAAAGAGGACCGATCGCAAGTGGAACGGTGACTTTGCACGAAGGTCACTAGGGCCATGAGGGATGCATCCTCCCCGCTGCTCCAACCCGCTGCCGCGCCCGAGGGCCCACCCATGGCCAGAGATCCACCGCCGCCGATAGCCACCACCGCCGGGAGGCAGAGCAGCAGCCACCGGCCCTTGCTGTCACAGCTCGCGTCGCCAATTGACCAGAGCTGGCCGTCGTGCCAAGGCACAATCCGCCGTCGTGCTGCCCGTCGCGCAGCAGTCCCCCGGGCCGCCGGCACCGCCGCAAGGCAGAGCCGTCAGACCTGAGCGCCGCCACGCCGCAGCGCCCAACACCAACGCCGTGCCTGACTATGGAGAGGCCTGCTCGTGCAGCCCCCACATGCGTGAGGACGCCAAGGCCTCGCCGCCGCCGGCCCGGACGAGCTTTGCCCGGCTGCGCCCCGTGACGGCGGTGAGGAAGGAGGAGGGAGGAGGGGAAACCGGCGGTGGGATCTGAGATCGCCCTCCCCGTCACCTTGCGGGCGCGACGAGGGAGGGATCCGGAAATTTCGGATTGGGAGGATTCCGAACATGCTATTATTATTTTTTGGTTCTTCTTTCAAGAGAAAGCATAGTGGATTTTCCTCATGACCCACCCAACTCTCTTTCTAGTTGCGAGCAGTATCAAAGTTGTTTAGCAAGCTCATATTTTCCAGTTTCCGTCCACTTTAGTTGGTTGTGTGAAAGGAGAGTTGATTTCGATGCACCCACCTTGGTGCCAAATCATCGTTCAACCATTTTACCATCTGGCATCTTTTTTCTTTCTCGAATACGCACTAGTGTGCATATCATTCTTTAAAGAAGAAGAGGGAAGACTCCCCAAGTTCATATGTACAAATTTTAATTACATGCGGAATTTTCCGACACTACCGCCAAACTTGTGAACCAACTACATCTCGACGTCCCACAATCCTACCTCCATCTCTAATCATACTGTATTCCTCTTCAACAGCCTGGCTTTTGCCCATAGCCTTCCTTCGTCCTTTATCCGCTGCATCAAGTGGGAGCGTGGCGCTGTCATGCCATTGAACACGACGCCATTCCGATGCTTCCAAAGGAGCCACATAGTCAGGAGGCATTTAGCCCTTGTTGACTTCCGATCTGTAGCGGTCGAATCCTACCTGATGCACCACACACTCAACTCCTCATCATTGAGCGTCTCAAATGCCGGCCTACCAGTGATCCTCCCCAACCAATGCCATATTTGCCTTGCGAACATGCAGTCGATTAGCAGGTGCTGGATGGTCTTCTCCTGTTGATTGCACAGTGGCATGTATCCTGATGGGGCAGTCCCCGACGAGCCAAACATTCCGAGGTCCAGCACCGATTCTTGAAAACAAGCCAGGCAAAGAAGCGGCACTGAATGGGTGCCCGCGAGTTCCACATGAATCCCGCTGTCAGAGACACCTCGAGGCCCATGAATCTAGTCACATATGTCAAACGAGCCGAGAATCGGCCATTCTTCTCCCAGCTCCACTTGACAACATCTTCCATGCTCTCCGTGACCTGCGGCCAAAACTAAAGGGATTGAAGCAACGCCTCGGCTGTGAGGTCGGGACCAATATTGCTTGCCCAACTGTTGTTGTTGAGTGCCTCCGAGACAAGCTTTGGTTTCTTGATCCTAGGCAGGATCCTTTCATACACCATCGGAGCTAGTCACATATCCGAGAGCCGTTTAACCACCTGTCATCCCAAAACAACGTGGACTTGTCATTGCCCGTCGTCGTGCTTGCTGCCGCTCGAACCAAGGCAAGAGCCTCCGTCGGTACCCTGATCTGGAACTCCGCCCATGGCCTGTCTTTGTCATATCTCTGTAACCATGACCAGCAGGCTTGCAACGATTTGTTAAGCCACTACATGTTGGGGATCCCAAGCTCCCTGGTCCACTTTGGTCGACACACCACCTCCTAGGCTACAGAACAATTTCCTCCCCTCGCCTCCTTTTTCCCACAGTAGAGAAATCCATGGCAAATCTTGGCCAATGCCGAGAGAGTCTTCGTTGGCAAATCCAAAGCTAGCACAAAGTGCACAGGGATTGCGCATAATACCAATTGAATGAGAAGTAACCGACCACTCTTCAGAAGCATTGCCGCCTTCCAAAGTGGTAAAGCGTCACTCACCCGGTCCACCAGACTTTGCAGTTGTGTTGTTGTTTGCTTCCTGAGTGTCAACGGTAACCCGACATATTTGCACGGAAACAGGACTATGGGGCACTACAAAGTAGCTGTGACCATCAGCATCTCATCATGTGAGCAACGGATTGGCAACGCCATGCTCTTGTTCATGTTTACCACGAAACCTGATGCCTGATCGAAGAGCTGCAAGATTGC